AAAAGATTCCCAGGTGATTCTAATGTGCAGCCAAGGTTGAGAACCACTGAGCTAGAGAAAAAATTAAAAAAAACAAACGGGATTTTAAACTAACTTCCTTGCAATTGGAGACACTCATCAGTGATATGAACCATTACAGATTGAAGTTTTACTCTTTTCCTTTGGTTAGGTCTCAAATGCTTGTCTTTCTAAAGTATTAAGAAACATTGCTACCATATTCCTGGTTTCCAGTCTAGGAATGGGTAACACAAGAATAAAAGCTACATTTGCAGGTAAAGGATGACACTGATTTTTATCCTATCTGACCAAGATAATTTATTCTTATGGAAAGTTTCAATCTACAGAAAACTATACTAGTCTATTCCTTAAAATTATCATCATGGTTTTTTTTATAAAGTAAGCTATTTTATGTACTCATAACTCTCATAAATGCTTCATTTTTTTTTCTCAGAGACAATGATGCTGGTGGGCATTTGCTTCATGGTACTGCTGCAACAAGCGGCCAGCATGGTAAGAATTTTACTTATAAGATAGATTTTAAACTCTATTAAGAGGAGTATCTTATCCATAATTCATGGTGACTGTGACATCAGCAACAATGATGGTTGCAAATCTCCTGGGATGGGGACAAAAGCCTCGGTTCTCACTAATGTGTATTTTTACAGCAATCAGTAAATTTTTTTACTCATTAACACTACTGAGCAATAAGACAGTGGGCCAGCAATTACAGGAATTCATTTTTATCATGAGGAGCTTGTTCAGTGGAAGGGTTTAACAACTGCTTGGAGATTTAGTTTCTAGACCCTCAAAAATGTATTTGATATTACAATGTCCTAAACCAGAACATGTTGTTGCAAATTACAGGATTTTCTCTTTGACTGAGTAATATTCCACTGGGTAATATTCCACGGAGTAATATTCCACTGGACATACATACCCATCTTTTTTATCCACTCTTCTATTGATGAACAAGTCTTGGCTGTTGTCAACAATGCTGCAGTAAACATGGGAGTGCATGTATCTCTTCAATGACCTGTTTTCATTTTGTTTGGATGCATACCCAGAAGTGGGTTTCCTGGATTGTGTGGTAGTTCTATTTCCAATGTTTTGAGAAACCTCCATACTGGTCTCCATAGTGGCAAAACCAGTTTGCAATCCTACCCACAGGGTAGCACATCTTCGCCAACACTTGTTATTTTTTGTCTTTTTGGTAATAGCTATTCTAATAAGTGTAAGGCAGATACTTCACTGTCCTTTTGATTTCATTTTCCTGGTGATTAGCAAAGTTGAGTACCTTTTCATGTATCTGTTGACCACATGGATGTCTTCTTTAGAACAATGTCAAGTTAGCTTCTCTGCCCAATTTTTAATTGGATTATTGGGGTTTTTTTGTTATTGACTTGTATGGGTTATTTATCATTTTAGGATAATAACCCTTATGATCTGCCCAATTTTTAATTGGATTATTGGGGTTTTTTGTTATTGGTTATTTGTTATTTGTTATTCTATGGGTTATTTATCATTTTAGGATAATAACCCTTATGAAATACATGGTTAGCAAATGTTTCTTCAATTCCATAGGTTGTGTTTTCATGAAAGATTGTTTCCTTTGCAGTGCAAAAACTTTTACATTTGATGTAATCTTGCTTGTTGAATTTTGCTTTTGTGTTGTTGGTGATTTTGACCAGCACCAATGTAAAGGAGCTTTGCTCCTACGTTTTCTCCTAGGAGTTTTATAATTTCAAGTCTTATGTTTAAGTCATTGCTCCATTTTGAATTAATTTTTGTGATTAGTGTAAGATAAGGCTCCAATTTCATTTCTCTGTGTGTAGTTATCCACTTTTTCCAACCCTATTTGTTGCAAAAACTATCCTTTCTCCATTGGTGCTCTTGGCCCTCTTATCAAATATTTGTTGAATGTATATGTTGAATGGATTAATTCTGGGCTCTCTATTCTGTTCCATTGGTCTATATGTCCATTTTT